CTAAACTGTGCATTTAAAGAGATTTTACATAGAGGGTGCATTTATAGAGAGTGCATTTAGAGAGGTCTCTCTGTATTTATTTAAAATTCAGAATTGATTTATCGAAGTTGTTCTTGAACAAATGTCCTAATTTAAACTGTATTATATTGTACTTCAAATTTTTTAAATAATATAAATAATATAACAGAAAAGAAAAAATTATATATTTATTTAAATCAAAACCAATTAATAATTGTTGCAGATCATAATGAAATCGGATTAAACTAAATGAGGGTTTCTATTTAATCTTTTAAAACCCACTTATACTTGTTTATTATAAACTCTACTCTAAAACTAATATCTTACCCTACCCCTAGCCCTAAAAAATGTGCTTCAAAAATTTTTATTTTTTGGCAGCTTGTTTATTTTTTTACATTGTACAATATTTCATTTTAATCTGATTTTGTTTTAATCCATCACAATAAATAGAGCACTACAAAATCTCAATTCTGATTAGCATGTTCTATTTTATCATGTGGTTGCACTTCTAAATTTTCAGTGGATTCATGATTATTGAGCTCATTATCAGAATTAAATAATGATCTTACCTCTTCTAATATAACTAGCAATTCATTACGCCTCTTGGACTTTATTCCACAATACTTTTTTTGAACACTATCACTTGCCTCTTCAAGAAGTGTCTCAATTTTATATACAATTTTCACATTAGTCATACTTGTATCACTCATTAGCTTAATCACTTCTTTTTTGGTAATTGGAATAGACCTAAATAAAGGAATAGAGTTATTCTTATAAAAAACTTCAGTAATATATTCTTTCCAAGCCTGTTTAGCTAAATTAGTGAACTCTATCAATTGTGCACTTAATTCATATTCTCCTCCTAAGTTTTTAAAAGTAGCTCTGGAATCTACTATCAGAATAACGAAATTTTCTTTTCTTAAGCAAGCTCGAAATCTCTCACATTCTGCAACTGCTTCTGGTTTAACTCTCGGACCACTTGTTTGAACTTCATTATATCCAATTGATTGAAAAAAATTATTTCGTAGCTAAATTTATAATAATTTTAAGTTAGCTTTAAAAAACTTTAGTAAATAAATTAATTCATACAGCAATTGAATATCTGCAAATATTTTTTACAATTTCGTGCAGCAATTCTCCAATACCGCATTTGTGAAACAGAAGGTATTAATGCTTTCAAGGATTTATTTATCTCTTCCAAAACCACATCTAATCCTTGATACTAGCTAAAAAGTCCTAACTATAAAATTATACAATTCTTCTCTACAACATCTTATATAGCTGGATCAAGTTGTAGCAATTGCACTTCGTCTGTGACTTCTATATAATGATATATTGGATGACATTGTGCAGACCATACTAGAGAAAAGACTCTCTGTGCAGCACTTTTTAATAATGGATTATTTTCCCTGATAGCTTTTCTATAATTAATAATAGCCTGTAGATAAACAAAAGTCTATTTAAAATAAATAATTAATTAGTATTAAAGTGAATTATAATCATAACTTTAGCTATTTGAGAAAGAATCAGATTCTAATCAATCTGGTTGATTTAAATTATATTTCTTAAATGCGATAATTCGATAGTGAAAATCTGTGTAGTAATAATCGAAAATTAATTCTTAAAGTTATATAATAATTATGTAATATCAAATAAAAAATATATATAGTCAACTTTGGATATAACGAACCTTTTTATAACAAACACACTATATAATGAACTTTTTTTTTCAAATTTAATATAAGTTTGGTATATAAAATATAGTAAATTACTATATAACGAACTTTTAAAAATTTTTACTATAAAACTCATCAGTTCGTTATAAACAGAGTTGACTTTATTAGTATAGTATATTATATTATTTAATTGATTTAAAATTTCAAACTTACTTTTGCTTAACTTTTTAAAACACTTATCGAATCTATACTGTATTAATAAACTTAGAGCTAAATAAAAAATATATATTAGTATAGTATTTTATATTGCTTAATTGATTCAAAAATTCAAACTTACTTTTGCTTAACTTTCTAAAGCACTAATTGAATCTATATTGTATTAATAAATTTAGAGTTATCTTGCCTTGTAAATCCATTAGTAACAAAGCAGCAAAATGTTATTTTGACAAAAATGAATTTAGGTTATTTTAATTAACCCAAAGTTATTAGAATCTGATTCAAGCTGCATTATTACTTATTAGGATAATAGTCAAAATTTAAAAGGTATTATAATTTTTTATAACAAACCCAATAAATAAATCATTAAAAATAAATTAAAAGTTCTACTTGTTCAAATTTCATTTGATAACATAGATCCGTTTGTCCCTTTACCTAGGCCAAGTATTCCTCTACTAATGGATTAGAATAACACTTAATATATGGCCATAGCAATTCCATGGCCATAGCTTGGCAATAAATATTGCAAATTGAATCCCAAGATTTATGATAGTCATTAAAATAGGAAAGTTGATTTTCGGTTTTATATCTCTAGCATATTGCGAATTGCTTAAGATCGATATTTTTATTAGATAACTAAAAGTTAACAAATAGAAAATAAAATATTTAAGCACAAGGTAAGCTTACTAATTTAATTCCACAAAGGCTTAAAGCATGTTCATTTCTTCGTACAATTGCCCAGAAATGAGAATTAGCTATAGGTATTTTTCTTTAATTTTTGTTGCCTGATGATATGGAATACTATTACATATTACAACTACCTATTTATGTATTTCATCTTTAATTCCTGAAATTTTTTCAATATTAGTAAAAATTTTTTTAATATTTTCAGTTGTGTTAGGATTAACATCAAGAGAATCAGATATAAAAATTTCTGAAACGTTAACCCCTTCTTCAGCATGCATTTTTTGAGTCACGCTAATTCTTGGTGTATTAGATAGTCGATTCTCTTTTTCAGTATTATATAGTTTAAAGATAAATAACTGTTTAGCTATATCCTCCTCTGCTTCTACTTCTTTAACATTTTTGACAATGTAGATAGACGAAACTTGCATACCGGGCAAACTTGTCTTTTATTGTTGATATCTTTTTTTTTACAGTTAGGATATTGTTTGCTACAATGAATATTCAGACCTACATTAGATGCAAGAGAATCAATCTTATTGATTGTGGTTAATTTTTCTTCACACAATAAACCAAGAACTTCAGAAAGATAAATATACAATTCTTTATCTATAACTTCTTGCATTTCAAACGTAATATCGAAAAGGCTTTTATATTAAGACCTATCAAGAAAATTAAATATCCAAGGTGCATTATTAGTATGTTAAATATAATTTTGCAAATTCATGTTGAAGGTAATGAAACTAGTAACAGTATAAAATATTACTGTGTTAAGTTCTTGGTCAAGATAATTTCTTTGTTTTCTTTGTTCATTGTTGAATACTAAAAATAGAAGGCCTTCTGGTAGTGCTTCTTCTTTATTAGATAATTTGTCTAACCAAGTTTGAAAACAGAAATAACTCCTTGAGCTTGTAATGTGATTATCAATATTGATAATAGTTTTTGATCTTGTAATAGAATATTTTATGGCTGATGCTACAAGGCTCATTTTCGATACGTATTTTCTGTGTCTGGATCCATACACAGAATTAACGGCTATAACCTTTTTATAAACCTTTTTGGTACTTTCAAACCCTGTATTGAAATTATTATGGGTTAATATTTCAATAAATTTTACAAGAACTTGATTGCATCTACTTAGCTATAAATGAGGGGTATAGTTTAATAGATTTTCCAAAGAAAATCTATTATTATCTCTAATCAAAGCTTTGACATCTCTATATAAAAAATTTCATTCAATTAGTGCAATATCAGTAACTGCTTGTATGCGCTTATCTTGATTAGAGTATCAAGAGTTTCATTGCTTGACTAATTTCTCATTCTTATCAAGTTCACCACTAAATAAACTCTTTAAATAAGCTATAACTTTATCATGCTCTTCTAATTGCCTCCTCAATTCCAATATCATTTGTTCTTGGTCTTCAATATTTCGTTGAAATTCCATGATCATAATGAGCTCTCTATTTTCTTGTTCTTGCAATTGTTGCTCCAATGCTGCAATTGTATGCACATGACTTTCTATATGCATTGCTTCTGTATACAATTCGTCAATTTCTTCACGAACATTAGAATTATCAGAGCTTGTGTCAGATCGGGCTCTCTTATTTTTAAAAGCAGGATTATCTAAAAGGTGATTATAAAAATGATTAGTAGAAATTACTTAGTTATAATGTTTTTCACAAATTGAGTATGAATACAAATAAAGTTTAAGTTGAGGTATATAATCCACATAAGATTTAAGCTGATTAGTAGTGGTTGGTGTATTAGCATATCTCCAGGTTTGTGATTTTTTTATTTTACAGGGTCTTAAGCTAAGTCTACTATACTTATTAGCTATTAAGCTAAACATACAAGAAAGATCTTTAGCTCTTGGCTTCTCTATGGCTGATGAAAAATACGACATCATTGTAGAGCTTTTATACAAGCATTTTAATAAAAAAAAGAGAAAAAATTAATACGTTGTAATAAAATTTAAATATGTATTCTTCATTATTTCAGGTTTCATTTACCTTTTCAAAAAATGTTGATTACCGAAAAATAACAACTGATTATATAACTAGAAGTTTTTGACTTTCTTTTTGAATATCAACTTGTCAAGGTTTGATATTATGAACACTCTAAATTTTAGAATTAGTTAGCAGTAGTATTAATTATCATTATCCAATCATAGTACAAGGAATTTTTGAAGATCATTCTAAATGTATTCTAGAACCGATCTTCAAATTTACTATATTCCCTGACTGCAGTAGCGAATAGGTTTGGTAACAGGATTTTCTACAGTACGTAGAACTTATTTCTATTCTGGTAGGTAAAAATTGATTTAGTTTGTATCAAAAGTTATTAAAAAATCATGTTATCAAACCTATTTGCTATTGCAGTAGCACACATATATATAAGTCAATTCAAAATATATATTATAATATTATATATATAAATAAATAAAAAAAGATATTTACATATATAGCATAATATATATATAAATATAGTAATTTATAATTTCTAAATTTGGAAATTATAAGAGGTGTGGCGACCTAGTGTAGTGGTCTAGTTGTCACCCTCTCCAAGTGGCAGGTCTAGAGTTCAAATCCCACGGATGATGAATTTTGGAAAATAGCCTGTGTTACGGTTTACGGTTGTCAATTATCGGTTGGATCTAGAAATTTGTAATCTCGGTCATACCATCTAGTTATGGGAGCTTTGGCACAATAAATCTGAGGAACCAGAATAACCGAAAACCCATTTGGCAAGTCCCGAGTTTGGAGGTAGTAGTGATCTATGAC